CTCCCCCCATTTTATTGGCAAACTTCAATAAATTACACCACCATTAATCCTGGCTGCCAGGCAAAAACGTGACGCGAGTTGCTCACAGGAAGCCAGCGATTCCTTAACCGAACGACTTCAATTTCCATGTGTGTTGTTTGTTTGCGTTTTCAATTTAACCGCCACAAAGCGAGGGGGAAAATCGAATTGGAAATGGAAACGAACTCCCCCCAAACGGGTAAACAATTTTCCACACCAGAACGATTTTCGCAAATTGATAATCATCAGCAGCGGAAGTACACATTGGAATTGCTCGAAACCGAATTTCGGATTTCGTGTCAATGGTCCAGAAACGGTGGAATCAAAAGAGGTTTCTGTTTCGCAAATGTCACTTAAATGGTCCTCAGTCCTTGGCCAAAGCTGCATCATCTGCATAATGAAATCCATCCGTTGATGGCAATGATAAGCAAGTAAAAACAGGGCAGCGGAAAAGCGCATTAAAATTAATTATGCTTTTTCATTCATTTCGCACAAAGCACACACAGAAGAAAGCGAATAACATTAACAGTTTTTTGTGGACATTTCCACACTTTTTACTTAGTTACACTATCTCTTGTTGTGACAGCTGCAAATGAATATCATAAATATCAAAGCTTTGTGCCACCGACCATCAAAAAAACTAAGCCATAAATTCATTGACAAAATTGCGGCCAACTGGGAAATTATGACATCAATTCAATTATGAGGCTTGTTCAGCAGGTTAATAAATGATGCGGGGGCAATAGAATAGGCGGCAATTAATGGCGAACGTGTGATGGCATTAGCTTTAACTGCCGCCAAAGCCGCGCCATGCACGACTTGATCAAGAAATACAGGCGGAAATAACTACTCATTAAGCGCGATGGCCACGTAAACGGCCAACAGTCCATTGGGAGCTAAGAAATGGCGGCTGAGACTGCTGGCAACTGCAGCTGCAGCAAACTATGGACACGGAACGGTCGTGTGGTAATAGAAATCATTACAATAAAACCAAATGGGCCCGAAGCAACAGCCAAACGAGCCAATGGCCAAGAAAAGAAAGTCATTTGGCACTTGGCCGCTGCTCCAAAGCCTCCGAATCCGCAGCTCCGGAAGGGGATGAGTTGGCCGAAATGAGCGCAGACAAATGGCAGACACGTAGCAGGCATCTCGGGTAGCCAAGTCCAGGACCATAACCACTACCAAAACCAGGACCAAGACCAACTCCGAGGCCAAGGCAGACAATCAAAATCCATTTGAGTCGGAAATGAGCGAAATCAACAACGGCGTTGCTTATTCTTATGCCGATCTGCGGAAACTCTAATCCTGCACTCGAAGAATAAACTTCCCCAAATGACTTTCAAAAACCAATTCAGCTGTTCCAAAAGAATTCCTTTTAATATCCTTGAAAAACTAACTGAAACTAAACTAATTTTGAACTGACATTTAACCAGATTTTTCCATAGCATCGATTTAACAAACAAAGTCTTCACTTTTCCTCCTATGTTAGTATTAATTTGGTAAACTCTACTATCATCTTAAAAAAATAAATAAATCTTCAATTAAAAAAATTAAAATATTTTAAGAAAATGTTATTTACCATATATATTTTAATATGTGAATTGATGAAAAGTATTTTATATATCCAAAATGTACCTTATTCTATCAGATTATTATTATTGATTATTGTGTAACTTAAAAAAAAATTTTTTTGTTAACACAAATTTAATGATGATACGTAAAAAAAAAATTATTCTTATCTAGAATCCTATATAAAAATATTCTTTTCGTGGGGTTTTAATATATAATAATCTGTATAATGGATATCTAATTTCCGGGCAACTGTAAGATTTTACTCCATTTAAATGTTTACTACAAAACATAATATTTGAAATATACAACTCTGATACGAAATATTATTTTATTTTTCCGGAATCCCTTGTTTTTTCCAGTGCAAACGAGGGCAACTGCTGCAGCAGGTCGTGCCATAACTTCACATAAGGGGACGCATTTTTGTGGCTGGGGCAGAATTATTTTTTGGAAATGTCAAGGCTCCTTGGTGGCTTTAAAATAATTACGGTACACACAGGAGGCGACACACAGAGCCCAGAAGAGCAGAGGGAGAGGGGGATAATGGGAAGAGCGAGACAGGACTCTAGATGGTGAGATGGTGGAGAAAGGGTCGAGATGAACGCTTCATCGCCTCCATTCGACTTGCTCGGCTGGCTCGACTCCGTGGAGCTTTTGAGCGCATTCCTCAGCTTCTTCGGCATGCAAGTGAAATATGTTTTGATATTAAATTATTGTCGGCACGCCCCAGCAGCCACAACAACAACAACAACATATGGGGCACGTGCAGTTCAGGACGCATAATAATTGCCGGTTGATAGCTCAGCCCGCTGTAAAGGGGATGCGTATCCTTTCGCATCGCTTTTCCTTTGCCGGAAAAGCCGCAAGGCCACAAGCCATCGCTGGAGCAGAAACCCAAGCTGAATCTGAAGCTTAGCCGGGGTACGCTCTGCTCCAACTGAATTCCGAAAAGCAAAACTGGAATTTTTATTGCAAATTGCGAAATTTTAACTAAAAAAACAGAACGCAGCCAGTAAAAACGATGAACATAGTCATAGTCCTTGCCCCATTGTTTGGGAAATGCCTCACAAAATGTTCAATGTCACTGCAAGAAATTGCTACTCATGCCAGTGAAATCAATAGCACTGCTCGGCAAATCCATACTTTCAAGCAATACTTTTAAAAGCAGGTTATAAGAGATTTGGGATAATTGAAAGATAAAATAATGTATTTAGATACAATAATCCTTTATTTATTTTAATATTGTTTTCTTTCGAATTCCTTTTCCTGCTTGTATTATTTTATTGTTTATTTTTTCAGCTGCAGCTCAGTGTAGCTCTTCGCCCAGCACTTTTATGCACTTCTTGTGCCATCCCCCAGCTCAGATCAAAGTTGTAATTTGAATAATTTATTAAGGTTGAACTTTTTGCGCGTCGGTCAAGAAGTTGTCCAAAGCGCCTTAAAGGTAATAAACAAAACTCTTTCTTTTTGTTTATGAATCGTTGCACAAAGGGTGGTGGAAAAGGAAAAGCCGGAAGCAAATCATTGAAATGTTTCATTTCCTCAATTTGAGGTTGGCCAAAGCGAGGTGGAAAATCTTTTTTCTTTTCCATTTTTTTTTCAAAGCAAAAAGAAGGAAAGCGGATTGGGAAAGTAGCGCAAAGCGGGCGACTATGGAACCGAACGATTTTGCAGGAAGTGGAGGAACGGATGGCAGGTGCATCAACAAAAGGTAAAATCTATGCAAAGAATATTCTCAATACACGAGGTACGTCAGCGCTTTTCACTCAATTTCAAACTGCAAAATCACTTCTACCCCCACCAACCATCTCATTCAACCGACTCTATCCATTTTTTCTCGGTTGGTTTTGTCCTTCGGCACGTTCAAGTGCAGCCATTAAATATCTTTTGCTTGAGTGCGTCCAAAAATTGTGTGGAAATTAAAGACGACAAATCACAAAATCGCCAAATTGGTCAATACAAGTGGAAAATCAGAAATTGTGGCCGAAACAACCGAAACGTGGCCAAGAGCATGAAACTCGATGGGACCATTGTTTTTTTTAATTTTTTCCGTTCTTGCTGTTTTTGGCTGACATACCGATCCCGATTGATTAGGAGGCCACGCATTTGAGTATTGATTTACTCGCGCTGATACATCACGTATACGCACTGGTGACCAAGCTGGAGTGGAGGGTCTTCATCCGCTCTTCCGCTCGACTGACCCCGTATACCTGCCACCGTTTTTAGTTAAGACTTCCGATTTGTGTTTGCAGCACATCCACTTCGGAGTTTCAGTCTTCCGCTCGCTGTAATTTTCATGACTTACCCATCACTGGGTCGTTAAAAAAGGGGTTCTATTATATTGGACAGGTAAGGATTACATCATTCCTAAACGAATTCTTTTAAAGTTAAATATTACAGATATGTCAACGAATAATCGTCTCAGGAATAGATAATTTGAATTATATTCTCAATAAAATGTTTTTGATTAATATATCTATTGGCTAGCCTTACATTTTTTTTCCATTGTGAATTTTCCCCGAAATTCCTTCTATTTTTTCGGGAATAATACCATTGTGAGGGTTTCGCGACAGGCGACACCAATTTGCGAATTCTCTTTGATGCGTCAGCTCGTCCAAAATAAACACAATTGTTTCCTAAATCTCACCCGGCGAATCCAATATGCTTGATGACCAAGGCGCTGGGGAACTTCTTTTATGCACGCAGCGCATTAAATTGAATTTTAAATGAAGATTGATTTTTGCGCTCGACCCCGCAACAAAAACCAAAGGGAAAAGGCGGGAAAAAGTCGACAGCCGATGCCAAAGCCACTTGCCAAGAAACCAAAAATGAAATAAACCAAAGAACGAAAAAAAGGGGAGCTGAATAAGAAAAAACCCAAAACAAATGCCGCCCATTGTAATTAGAGACAATGGAAGAGCCGTCCCTTGTGACTGCAATCCGCGACCCTTTTCGCCCTTTCACCCTGCAAAGCCCCGACCTCGCCGGCCTCTTATCTAAATTAATTCAAATGCCTGAAAGAAACACAAATAATTAAAATTAATTATGTGGAAAATATTCAATAAGTTGGAAATTATGCAAACGAGCGCAAAGTAAACGCCCCAAAGATAAAACTAAGTGCAATTTCGCTCGTTTCGGGAGCATCAAACATTTTGTTGACCAAAAATATCTTCTCCTACTTAGCATTGATGGACACGGTCCGTTGGATGAATGGCGGAACGGACGGACTGACGGATGGATGGATGCCGGGGCGGATATGCGTATTATGCAGACGATGTCATCGGCATACTCGAAAGATTTTCCGAATTTTCGAACTATCTGGCGGATGAATGGGAACGACTGGGCGAATAGTTCGCGTTCGAGTTAGCAACAATTTCCGGCATTTCGTATATAAACTGAATACGAAAATGCGCCTCAGCCAGTGAGTTCGTATCGGTTCGGATCGGTTGGTCGGCGTCACGTTTTTCAGCCCGAAAGTAGCGCAGGTTACTTAAAAATACCAAAAGCGAGAAAATTGGAACAGCCTCTGCTCGCTGGCCGCAGTTTCTTAGTTTTAGCTTTTCCGAATTTTCCGACTCTCCTATCCGGCATTCTCCGTTCGCATCTGGCGCGGGTAAAACGAGCAGCTGCTTCATTCCTCAGTCGACTATTGTTGGCCGCGCGAAAAACATGAAATTGAAAATCAATCTGACGTTCCTCTGCGCGACACTCGTCGGCCTCCTGTCCATCATCCTATTGACACAGACCGCGGAAATCGAGGCCTTTGGAGGCGGCAGCTCTGCAAATGGGGCAGTGGTGTCATGCAAAGAGCTGAGTAAGTGTCAAAGAATGCCAAAGTTCGGGTTCTAGTTCCAATGAAAAAAAGTCGATTTGATGGACTGACAGAATATTTATGAATCGCGAAGATAATCGTCTTTATATCAAAAATCTCTTCTGTCAGCCTAAGTTTCAATGCAAATAAAACATCCCGGTAAATGCGTTCTCATAAAATGCACATCTAAATGGGTTTGGTTGAATAAATATTAATGGAAAGACTACTATACATTAATTTACAAATTTAAACTTGTGGCGTCCTTGATTATTAAACTTTAACTGGCTATGAATTCAGGCATTTCAATTGAATAAGTATTTAAATCAAATAATAAAATTAAAAGATATAAATTTTAGTATTTCAATTAATAAGTATTTAAATTAAGTTATTAGACTAAAAGTGTCTAATCAGGTAGAAGTAGATTTATGTCATTTATTTATCTCATGCCAACTTGAATGTTGAGCACTGATAAAAAACGTTAGATTAAATGGCAGTTTGAAAATCCAAAATCACCACAAATTGCTATTAATATAAGTATATTTTTGTCTATCGTTGTTAAATGTGTTTATTTTAAGGAAAGGCAAATTGTACATTCGAAATTGCTATCAATCACAGTTCTGACTATTTGATAAATGAATGATAAATGCATTTATTAAAACACACACGTATATTACATCTCATTTCCATTTCCAAATAATAATTAAATTACAAAGTGTATTTATTATTATTTATCGCAAAGGTAAATAGCAATTACAGCACTCGCCTCTAGAATAAAAGTTTTCAGTACCTGCCAAGTTTGGTCCACATGCCGTTTTTTTTTGTGTCAACTGACCGGCCAAAGTCAATTTTGTCTGCGAAATTGTTCTATTTTCCCGCTTATGACTACAACGTGGCCAGGGAATTATGAAATATTCTGCCGTCTGCCTCGGGGACCGTATAAACAAACAAACGTAATTGCACTTAATGAGGCCAGTCGCGTTGTCCAACCGAATCGTGGATGCGGAGCACTTCCAGGCGGCGATTAACCAACGAATCTGCATTATTTTCATTTTTTCAGACAATGTCAACTGCTACGTGGGCCGGAATGAGGGGAACTTCTGCAGCAGCAAGGACAAGACCAAGGTTGAAACCCGTTGGTATTTCGACAAGGGCATCTGCAAGCCCTTCAACTACAAAGGATGCAACGGCAATCGCAATCGATTCTGCTCGCAGGACAGCTGCGAGTCACGCTGCGCCGACTGATTGGCATCAGCGGATATATCCCTCCTTACCTAGTATATAAGTTTGTACGCGTATGTTTAGGCTAAGAGCAAATAGAGATCGCACCGCACACTAAACAAAATAACACGTCATTTAAATATACATTCAATGGTTCCAAAATTCAACTATACAACATTTTTCAGAGTTTTTTAAAATTTATTTTAAATATCCTAAACATTTATAAATTTGGGATAGTACATTTTAAAATCTTACCTTTTCTAAAAAATAATATAATTGATCCCCATTCTTGTTCTGATTAATGGTTCCAATATTAAAATCTTTAAAATTAGTTTGATCATTTTTTAATTGGCTTTTAATTACCTACAAATTATTTCGCTAGTTTTAAAAATCAGAATCTTTTGCAAGAAAATTCTAGTTACTTGCACATTTTCCCTTTTAACTAGAAAATCAGGGAGTTCCTAAACATTTGACAAGCACATTTATATTAAGGACATTTATTTCACACATCCTGAACTTATAGTTTTAGAAATTAATGCTTTTACTAAGAGTTTAAATAAAAAGCGCATAAAATTAAAAAACAAAAAAAGGAACATTGTTTTATCAACTAAAACTGAAAAAGGTCTTACTTGGTTTGTATATAGTCTTTATAAAAATTGCAATTTTGGTACATTGTAGCCACGTTATCTCTCTGTGCAGCCACCTAGCATCCCAAGTGTTTAAGTGTTTTTACCTTTGATCAAACGGATTTTGACTAAATGCCGCCCAAAAATAGACACTCTAATGTTGTAAGCTGTCAGCGGTGGATCGGCACTTTGCTCACTGTCAGGGCTGTATAAAAAGCCAAAAAGTAAGAGGAGGGCTTGGGGAAAAAATGCGGCAAATGTGCTGACTGTCAGTGGCATATCAAATGGCCCCTTGACATGCCGCTGACAGTGTCGCCAAGACTGTGGCTGCCACCCATTCCGCGGGCTTTTAATGCTCATCGCGATGCTGACGTACTCCGTTCTGGACTTTGTCAGGGAAAATCACGAAGCCACCAGATGGTCAGTGCTCCCCACATCAAAGAGCCGTCAGTATTGGCCCTTTTTTGCGGCTATCGACTTACGGCTAATTAAAGCGATCTACATCTGCGCATATATGTATCTACCCACCCGCCCGGTTACCTGTTGACCAAACCGGGCATCTGGAACAGCATTAATTGCACTCCCGGCATATGTCGGTTTTGACAGGCCTTTGTTTTGGCCAGGAGGGCGGAATGGCTGCTAAAATGGCTTGATTGCTGGGCACAAACAAATGCCAATCAAATGCATAATAGCATCGACTAAACGAGACGAGATGGGACACACAACATGACATGCCACTGATGGCAGCACATTAATCTGTTTAAATGACAGCACTCAGGGTATTGGCAAAAAAAAAAGGAAAAAGGTTGGGAAAATTCCGAGGAAATCGAACCGAGTCATGTGGCTACAACTTCGCTCTCGATGCTGGCAATTTTCGCCAACAAGAACACGGAAAAACCAGAGGGTAAGCTTTTTCCCTGCTGAAAACCACCTACTAAACGCATAATTTCGACAGAGTGAAATTCGCAAACGTGCAAAGAAAACCCACTCATTTTTTTCGCCAGCCCCATTTGCATGAAATTAGTTTGCTCTCGGATCTAATTGGAAATTTAAAACGTACGAACAAAGGCCACTTTGGCGCTATAATTGAAAAATGGCAAATCCACTAGGCATTAGCTATCCGAGCCGAATAATCAGCGATTGCGCCATAAATGATGCATGAGCCGGAAAAAATGAAAATCAACGAAAACGCAACGCCGACCTCGTAAAATGTTAGAGCCCTAAATCTGCGCAGACATCAAATGCATGTAATTTGATTATTTATCACAATTTTGTACATTTAACGACTCAATTGAGTTTAATGCCACCAAAAATGTAAGAAGGTCCCAGGGCCATGATGATGATGAGATGGAAATTCCAGAGTGTGTTTTCGATTCAGTTTGCAGCACTTGTTGTCATCCAGGGGCATCCTGTAAAGTTGCAATTCATAAAACCGAAAACGGACGCCGTACTTTTTGGTCAATCAAAAAAGTTTCGTTTTCCCTGCCCTGATGGGAAAAAAGCGAAAGCAGCAGGAGAACTTTGACAAAGCTCGCAAAAGTATGCTATTCCAAATGTTTTGCTTAGATGGAAAACAGAAATGTAGCTCCTGGTGCTCTCGGCTTGTTTGTTTGTTTGTTTGTTCGGATGCCTGTTTTCGAATTGCATAAATGGAAGTATGCCATAAAGCAGGCTAAAGCCACGAACCAAAGGAATTTATAAAACGCAAAATTTGCTTTTGTCTGGTGGCACGAAAAAAAAAAGTACCCACACACAAAGGAGGGAAGGTCCACCCATCCATGGGCTACCATTTTTTCCGTAACCCCAATCCCCTTTGAGTTTGGCGCCCGCTCCCTAATCTGTCTTGCATGTGTTCATATAAATTTTGTGTTTATTCGAGTGCATTTCCACTGCGTCGCACACTCAGCCGCAGTCGGCCACGTTTAGTGGCCATGGCCAGAACACACACACACACAGCGTCACTACTAGTTGCCAAACGGCCACACACACGGCACACCCAACCAAACTGGATTTCCCCACTGGCTTTGGGGCTTCATTTATGTGTGTTTTCCTGGGAGACTGGGGGCGGAGAGGAAAAGCGGATCACATAATGCCAGCTGCCCGGGTCAACTCAACTTCTGCAGTTGAGCTTTAACTATTTTTCCGTTTAAATAATTTTGAGGTGCTTCTTTGTGGTTAAGTCTTAGTTATGTTTTCGACCCTTTCTCCTTTCTCCTCTGGGATTCCATTAAAATTCCTTCTGTAGCGAAATGAAAAGAAGAAAGTTACCAATGAAATTTATTGCCATCGACTTTCCACTTTCCATCGACTTATAAAAAGTTTTCTTTCAGCAATGTTTTCCACTGACTTCACCTTCAAAATTCGCGGCCAGGCGCTGTCGAGAAGTGGAAGCTGTGGCAAAACTTAAACCCTTTGGCCAATTTAATTTCACCACTGTGGTTGTTGTTGCTGTTGCCTTTGTGTTTTCCACACAAATTGGTTTCTCATTCTGCTTGATTTCATGCGCAATCTGGAGACGAGTTTCTCCAGGTGGCATACCCATATACCAACACAGACCCAAGCCCTCCCTCTAGCATAGAAACTGAGAAAAAAATGAAGGATTTGTTATTTTATATTTCTAACTTTGAACATGATAAGAAAGTCAGGAATGCAGAAAAACATTTAAAGTTTACCAATACTTCAGATAAGACCCCCTAGTGGGTTATTTTACAAATATTTTCGTTAGTTTCTAAAGCTTGGTATTCAATTTAAACTATTTCTTCAAATTTAAAAATCTATAAAAAAGTTTATCAAGTTTAAATTATATCTAAAACATTTTCTTTCTGTTTAGGAATACTTAGAGCAGCTTCGTGGCACCTGCTCGGTCTCTCAGACCACTTGACTTGTTATCTGCTTTTGGCCGATCAGCCCACTTGCACTTGTTGCCACTTGAGCTTCTTATTTGGTGTGTGGGCGTGGCCATATCTAGACCGATTCTGGGATATATATACTTTCTATATATATTTATATATACCAGGCCCCAAGGCGTGCTCCTTATTTATTTAGCTGGATTTTCGCGTTCCTATGCTTGCTCACGCAATCGAAGTGTGTGACAAGAGCAAACAAGCTGGCGCAACTGCAGCATTATCCTGCTGCAACGCATCCTGCGGGACCGGCTTTGTTCCTGCTCTGCTCCTGGCAAAGCTGGCGAGGAGTGGCAAGCCAAACAGCTCCCAACTACAATTGGTTCAAGTAGCTCAGCCCCTCTGAAGGAGGGTAACACGGTAACTACTTTTTTGCCTCAGCAAAATAAACGAATTTTAATAATCTATCTATCCAATCAGTTTACTTACATGGAACCAATGAATTTATACATTTTATTCAGTTCCTATTTTTTCTTGCTTTCATTTTATTATTTTAAAAAATAGTTAGGTTTTTTCCTTCAACGGGCAAATCTACACCCGCAAATAGGTCACTAAACCTTATTTGCTCTTCGTTTTTTATTAGTTGGATATAAATGCTATGCAGCACTATCTATAGCACTTACTCAAGCAAAAAGCCATTAAATAATGTATGGCTTAGATATAAAAATACCAAGAGGAATATAAAAACTTAACTATTGATTGCTATGTTTTTTCTAAGTAAAGTAATTCAATGATTATATTTCAGTTAGACATTTAATGAAAATTTAAGAGTTTTAAGATGCACTAAGGTATACAATAACTTATAATAAAAAGCAAAAAACCCTGTTTAACGAGAAAAGTTTCAAAAAATGTCCTTAAATCAGCTATAATTATTCAGCTCGCTACTATTTTTGCATGCACATGTATGGTGTTAGTTTGATGTCGCCTTTGCTTTCGCAAAAGTAAAAAAAAAAAAAAAAAAAAAAAAAAAAAAAAAAAAAAAAAAAAAAAAAAAAAAAAAAAAAAAAAAAAAATGTAAATTAAATGTGTAGTTTGTGTGGCTATGCTTTGCAATAAGTAAATCATAAACTAGCATGAAAATTGTGGGCGACACAGGTTTTCGCGGTTTGTGGGCGTTAAAGTGGGCGTGGCAAACTTTTTTTTGGGTCAATCGATAGGTATTGATGAGAACAATACATTTCAGTTAAATTTTCTATCTAGCATCAAAACTGTATGAGCCACAGTTTTGGGCGGTTTGTGGGCGTTAGAGTGGGCGTGGCACTCTACTGAAACAAACTTGCGCTGCGCAGGAATCTCAGGAATCTGCGTGCCTAATCCCAGTATTGTAACTCTCATAGTTTCCGAGATCTCAGCGTTCATACGGACAGACGGACAGACGGACAGACGGACAGACGGACAGACGGACAGACGGACAGACGGACAGACGGACAGACGGACAGACGGACATGGCTAGATCGACTCGGCTAGTGATCCTGATCAAGAATATATATACTTTATGGGGTCGGAAACGCTTCCTTCTGCCTGTTACATACTTTCCGACGAATCTAGTATACCCTTTTACTCTACGAGTAATATTTATACACACCCACATGGAGAGACTCGCATATTAAATTAAATATGAACCTACCCCAAATAACATCAACATGCTATTTCTATTTAAATTTCGCCTTGGGTCCATTGCTGCACGTAGAAGATAAAAATATATGTAAAGTAAGTACGAAAAAAGGAAGGTGTCGGTATGTTGGGGGCGGTGGCAGGGGATTTGGGGCGTGGCAACAAACATATTGCTGACAGAGTTAAGCAACAGCTCTTCTCGCACCGAATGAATGAGTGAATGGCTGATGATGCGCAAGTGTGTGTGAGGGTGTAAGAGTGTGTGTGTGTGTCCCGACTGTGCGTGTGAGTTAGTGTCAAGTCAGGGACATTTAGTAATTCCGCAGGCATATCAAGGACAACGTACTCATAAATACCAAAGGCAAATGCCACAGAGGCAGCAGCAACAACAACTGCATCCTTGTCTCTACAGCACCCTTCTCATCCCTTCTCTTTCTTTTTTCTGT